ATATTACTATACAATACCTTGCATGAAATCAACTCCCTACTATATATCAATAAAGAGAGAGAGAGAGAGAGAGAGAGTTCCATAAGGTTGCAACCTTAAACAATCAAACTAAGGTGCACCTCCAAATTTTATCATAAGACGTAATTTTGGTGTAAAAATTCTTAGGATGGCTTGAGAATCTATTTTCATCACTATTTATAAAATTGTAAACTCCAAAAATGGTTCAAATCAACTACATCTATAAACACATGAAAATATTGAAGATGAACGGTCCAGATAATGTGTTGCAAGATGCGGTATTTTGGGGACTTTAATTCTTGTTCTTTTTCATATCAATGCTTCTCAATATCGAGATGATCAATTCGAGGGTTTTCCAACATTCAAACAATTTTTTCAATGGATTTAATGCGATGCACCTTAATTCTACATTTTAAGTTTGCAACCTTATATAAACTTAGGTGAAATTGTAACTAAATAAATAAACAAAATAAAAACAAACAAATCATTTTATAATACTATGTACACATGCACAACAGAAATTACATATTGAGATTCTCCCATAAAATTTATGAGATTCTAAGGCCACGACAAGAAAGAGAATTGGAATTTATCATTAAACCACCATAGCCTTTTCATGGTAGTTATGAAACCTTGAGATCCATTTATAAATAGACATAGACAAACACACGCATATACACATTCATATAATGAGCTAGTGATTATAATTATCTTTATAATGACAATTCATCTAATTCATCTAATCATATAAAAACTATCTAATCGTATGTAAATTGACTATGGACCATGATGGAAACACGACACAATAGGGAAGGTTCTCCTCATAACTATGCTCAGGACATACAAGTTCCTCCTACAGAAGCACAAGAAGAAAGCCATGGGAACTTGGGGATGACTAAAACACTCCTAAAACAATAGAGGAGACAGTAAAAGAAGCTTAATGTAACTACAATAAAAACTCAGGGCTAAATGCAAGTGAATCAAGGAAATATGAGGAAGCATGAATACATTTCTCAAAGGGGTTCCCAGATTCCATGGTTTAGAAGCAAGGCTAGCTATAGTTCTGTGTTTTTCCTTCCTCCTTTTTTTCTACATTGGTAACCATGAGATTCAAACATGAAAAACAAATATGCACGACTAAGACAAAAACCAATAATAGTTGCATATTGGAACATTTTCCCAAGATAATTATACTTGATAAGAAAGGAGACATTATGTGAGAAGTATCTATACTATATTCCGTGTAAACATTCAAACACAGTTACAAGAAAATCAACCATACAGTAACAGTGAAAGAGTCCAAAAACATAAAAACCCAAGTTGCTTGTAAATGGGTAGCAAAATGTTTCACTAGAGTATGACCATTATTCCGAACTTCCTGGATCCAATCTACATCAGCATTATGGCGTCCCTCGAGATATAATTTTGCCCCTTCACTACAAGCAAAGAACTTGAGAATCACTGAATCTGTTATAGCAAACAGGGACTAATCAGTCACATGGTTCTGCCAGAACTTTTTAGCTGATACCACACAGGCGAGAGATGGGTAAACTTGAAACTGAACCTCTTTGCAAAGTCATAGCCCTTGGCATTCCTGCATCATGGTTTCAAATAACTTGTGATAAGGAACATTATTTTCCATTTGATTAATTTAGGTATAACTAGAGGATTAGCAAATTGATCTTATAAATTCTAAAGCATGATCTAAAAAATTGTGCAAGAGATTAAACTCAAGGCATTCTGATCTACCGAAATGTTTTACAAAAACACGAAAGCCTCAGCCTGGACGAAACATTTTTCTTGTAGTATTTCAATGTCTTCTTCTGTCAAAGATTTGCCAAGTCAATTCAACTCCAGGACTGAGCCGCTCTCTAGGCTGAGTCTAATAACTAATGTCTAGTTTAAAATAAGTAAAGAAAACAAACATAGAAAAAGAAATAATGAGGACTGGTTTGGAACTATCAGGAACTGGTTTGGATTTATTGGACCGTGGGAGGCTGGAAGCTCCCTGTAGTCAAGTATGTCATTTGTACGACCTGTAATTCAGGGACCTCGATCCCTATCGTAAGGAACTCGCTCCCAAGTTCTAGGGATCACAACAATATATTCTATAGGATGTAGAAACGTCTGCTAAGAATTCAAGATTCTATGGTGCCCTTAAATGAGATTTCTTAATATTGGATTTGGAGCTATTGAGTATCCCTTGCCAAGGTACTTCTGGTAGTGGAAATGAGGTCCTCGTCTAGCCTTAACCAGGATACCCCCAGTTTCAGAATCGAGTTCCTTAACTTGTCTTTCGCCCCCTTGTATTGGAATCGAGGAAACCATTGACCATAAAGCATGTTCCTCTAATATTCAAAAAATAGAAAGCAACTCAAGAGACCATAACCAGAGGTACCTAGTCTAGGAATCAGGATTGTGGGGGATGGGAATTTTGAACAAACGCTATGTGAGGAGTTTTATCAGAAAACAAGATATATTTTTATTTGCTAAGTTCACAAGGGGTTTTACAGGGTACGCACCCATTGTATTAATGTGTGAAGATGCCCATTGTATTAGTGTGTGAAGAAGACGTATCCTTATAGCGCCCATTATATTAATGTGTGAAGAAACCCATTGTATAAGTGTGTGAAGAAGACATATCCTCAGCCCAAATGATAAATTAGAGCTCTAACAGTGGGACCATTTTAAAGGGAAGAAAACTATACACATTGAAGAACAAAATCAAACTATATAGTCAACTACAAATTACAAACTATAAGCCACAAACCCATTTTTTGTTTCAATGGTCAACGTCCATCACTGAAATCAGGTATTCCATCTGCATCTCCACTATCCCTAGTTTTTAATATAGCTATAATGCCCATCACCGCCATCTCCAGTTAAGATTATTCATTCTTTGAGGGAGCAGAATGGAAGCAACCATAGTCTCTCAACCTAAAAGAATGGACTATGCCTATTTGTCTAATGACGAATTTAAAATCATGAGATCTCTTTTTCAAATATGCTTTTTTTAGTTACTAACAGCTGCCTTATTTTGTGTTATACTATTTTGTAAGCTATTTTAGACCAAGGAGGAGGCGCAAAAGCTGGAGTAAGGAACAAAAGTTGTTAGAACAAGTAGCCCACAGCCTAAGTTTCCACATAGTTTAACCAATACAAAAAACAAAACTAAAGTGAATGTCCTTCTACAATATCCAAAAACCCTAACTAGGGTTTAGTGAGAGAGAAAGAGAGGGAGAGACTAGCCTTTCATAAAGACACCTGAAAAGCCAAGCCAGATTTTCTTTTGAGAAAGAGAGAGGAGTAGAGAGTTTCAGGTGAGCGAGAGAGAGTAGAGGGTTTCAGGTGAGAGAAAGAGAGAGGAACAGTGGGTTTTGAGTGCACAAGAGGAAAGATAGAGAGAGAGAAAGGGGCATTGGGTTTTGAGTGAAAGAGAGAGGGGAGCAGAGGGTTTTGGATTACAGTGAAAAACGAGAAGAGAGAGACTTTTTGATCAGGGTTGAATGAACTTTAGGATTGATTTGATTCACATTTTCAACACGAAGCATTTCCTAGATGTACATCTTCCTTTTTTTTTAGAGGAAGATCAATTTCTCAAAAATGTTCTGAAATGAGGTTATGGATTTCCATCTCCCATGATGTTTACGGCCCCTAAACAAGAAAAATAGCTGACCTCCTGGAAATTCATTTCTAGGATATGATTTCCAAGGGATCCAAATCGGCTCAAAGATTTAGGGGATGGCGAGCTTACAACATCCACCTTACTTTGACTAACTTGTAAAAGATCAGTGGACACCACAAAACCCAAAAAGACAAGGTTATCTGTCACAAATGTGCAGATTTTGACGTTAACATAGAACTTGTCCTGCCTCAACATTTGCGAAATGTGACGAAGATGAGTAAGGTGCAATTCACCATCAGTACTACACACAAAGATGTCATGAAAATAAACGACAACAAATTCACCAATATTGGAGAAGATACGAAGATACAACAAATTCACCATCAGTATCCCGATTTGATGTACCCACTCCTTAGATCTATTTTGAAGCAGATATAAGCATATTATAAACTATCAAACAAATGATCGAGTAGAAGTATAGGGAAGCAGTTCTTTATGGCTATTATATTCAACATTAGCCATATTGCCATCATTGCCCAAGAAAAATATGACATATTGCCATATTTTTAATGGTACTTCTTTGCCTCTCAAACATATAACTATACTTAGGTCCTTCGTGCATGATTTTACAGTCATAATGCCATCATTGCCCAAGAAAAATATGACATGCATCCATAGGCAGTATGTAACATCACATCCAAATAAATTTTACCAATGGATAAAGGAAAGTAAAATCAGGTAATATTTCTCAGTTTTCAGCTTTAATTTGTCCAACATGTGCAATGGCACCATATTCTCGCAACTCCTCTATTAATGATGATATTACAAACCTTCCCACCAAAAGTATATCACATGAGGAAGATATTAATTCTCAACCAAAAGTCTTCTTCTCTAATTTTCGGGGTAGTCATCACACATCAGATAACTAAGGTTTCACTATTATTAGGGAGCAAATTAGCTTCTTGCATGTCATCATCACGGCCATTGACTTTGCTTTTTAATGTTACTTCTTTGCCTCCAATCCCCTCAGAAGGTTCTCGTCAACTTGCTCAACAAGGACAGCTTATGTGTCAAAGGAATTTTTGTGCATTCAGATGATTGGTGGTCTAGTTCATCACACCTGAAACACTTAAATGTGGCACCCCCTTGCTGTCCATTAGCATTTCCAAGACCCCGACTGACACTTCCCTGTCAAAGGTTTAGTTAGGCAGTAAGTTGATTAGGTTAAGAGCTGTGATGTCCAGGTCACAAGAAGCATTTCCACAATCCTAACTGACACTTCATTGTCAAAAGTTTGGCTGGGCAGGAAGTGATTAAGTTAAGAGTTGTGATGTCCAGCCCCTTGTGACCTCGAGCCTGATGCTCTTTGGTCATCAAAAGTTCTCCTCATCTAGGTTCTCCTCTTTGCTCTTAAGTTTCAAAGCAAGTTGTCAAGAATCATCTACTCCCCAAAGGGAATGAAAGGTGAATCGATATTTGAAAGGGAAGATGCAGCCTGTGAATATAGCAAGTGCAAGACTGCTCTTTAATCTCTCAGTGACCATTCCATATCATGATTGGATAGATGCCTCCGCATACTCATGCACAGATTTGTCATCTCGCCCAAAATGACATAATCACTGGAGTAAGACTAATGACGTAATCACTGAAGTAAGACTATTGATGTAATCACTGAAGTAAGACTTGATTATAATCAGTTGAAAGGAATTTTTCACGCAACTTGCCAATCATCTTGTCCATTGAACGAACTGTATCTTTCCCACACCTTTCTCTTTCCATTTAGACTTCTTACACCAAAGCAAAGCATACCCTTTCAATTTCAACTCATGTCCATGTTTTGGCCATGAAAACTTGCATTTTCAGGCAATTGTGCTTGTGCTTCTGGATGAAACATAAGTTGTGCAAGTTGATCTATTTGTTGTGGGAAACCTTGATAGGCTTCTTGCAATCCTCCTCATCCTCCTTTTCCTCTACCTCAAACTCCACTTGCTGCTATTGCACTCAAGTGAGTGTATTGGCGCAAAGAAGAAACACACTGCATCGACTTGCTTTGATTCCAAAAATGATGTAAACCAAAAGTAGAGCAAGAATTTTCCTCTCTAAATTAGTTAACACCAACCGTTACAAAACACAGAAGCTAAAATGAAAGAAAGAGTTCAACAAGGAAATAAAATCAAATCAAATATCCAAAGGAAATATGTCAACATAATAGAACGAGAAATCAACAACTAGGAGCGAGCTCTGTAAAGCTCTACACCTCCTAAGATTGTTTAATAATCAACTTAAAACTGAAAATTTGTCCTCCCACAAAGTCCCTTCAGGTTTTCTTTATACTAAAAAGAGATACCCATCTTATTTGGCAACTTAGCGTTGGTCTCTCCCCACTCATAGGCAAATAAACCTACCCACACAACCAAAACTCATCTACCAGTGCCCCAAAAAGCATGCTCCACTTAATTATGATTCTCAAATGGCATTAGGTTCATTCGGGATTATTTATCAGATAGGATAAGACTCTTCTTACGATGAAATCAATTGAGAGGGAAAGCCAGCATCAAAAAAGAAATTTCAAATGCTCAGGAACAAGATAGTGGATTCCACAAGGAGTACATACCAGGGTGTGACATCCGCCAGCACAGGAGGTTTGAAGTTTCTATGCGATGTGTTCGCCGAGGTCTTTAAATTCTCCTGAAAAATAATTGCAGTCATGGCCCAAACAAAACTCCAGCACTTCTACAATAACCGAATATACGAAATATTCCAACCATTTCTAAAATGCCAAATAATTTTTCCCAAATAGCTAAACCATTACATAAATGAAAAGAAAAAGCAAGTAAAAACTCACAGAGAGGATCTGTTGATAAGTGATATCAGTCTTAACCAAGCCCCTTTCAAATATAGAAGACGCATCGTCGATTTCGGCACTACCGTAGAATGTTATTACTTTGTATCCCACCAAGATACATGCGGCAAAGAAGAAGAAAAAGAGCGAAGTGCCAAAGAGGAGGTAATGGACAGTGGCGCCTGCGGTTTTGGTTTTAGGGCGTCTCATGACCTGTTTTGCGGGGTTACGATCGGCCGGAAACCGCCTCTCCCCTCGTCTTCTACTTGCCATTTTCAACCTTATCGAGGCTTGATGAACTTGAGAGACGATCACTCAAACGACTGATGCTTCCTCGTAGGTCTTACGAAAATGGCTCTGCGCCCACAACTGATCATGCTGTGTGGGATAAAAGGTCTCCAGAGTATTTGTTGCTGAGCATGGGCTACTGTCACAGGAGCAAATTGTGCACTTGCTCCCGCAGGTAGAAATTCTATCCTCCCCTACCATCCAGCCGTCTATTTTTTTTATTAAGAGAGCCACTCACTATTTGATCTTAAATTCGATGTCTCAAAGTATTTTACTTTTAGTTTTTTTAATCAAATTGTATGAATATGAAATTTGGTATATGTCATCTTCTTATTGAGGCGCACCTATAAAAAATATTAAAAATATTTTTTCAATAAAATTATAATGATCAAAACACCCCTTGAAACTTTCAGAGGTATTTTGGTCATTTTATTTTATTGAAAATATGTTTTTTATATTTTTTGCTAATGCAAATTTAACAGATGAATGGAGATCCAAAATTTGGTATCAAAACGGTTTATAGAGAAAAAAAATTCAAAAAAAAATAGTGTAAAGATGTGACATTGTGATTGGGGCAATCTTAACCCTCCATTCAGAATGGACGGTTTGGATAAGGGAGAAGATAGAACTTCTATGCTCATAGAAACCTTTCCCGTCTATTTTTCTTGAGTAATAATGTCATAAAGCCTTTAACTGTCAAATCTTAATCGGACGGCTTATAACTTTTTTATTTCAAATTTTTATTCTATAAATCATTTTAAAGCAAAATTTGATGGGCTCACATGATAAAAATAATGATAAAATATTTTCGGTGATGAATACTTATCAGAATACCCTTGAAAATTTTAAGGGTATTTTGGTCATTTATTTTTATAAAATATATTTATTTTTTATTTTTCCAAGGTTCTCTGTAATTTTGTGATGGGACGTCCAAAATTTCATCCAAAAATATTTTGTAGAAAAAAATGAAAAATAAAATAGTGTTTGGTGTGACATTGGGGTATGAACAATCGTAGCCATTCGATTCAAATCAAACGGCTAAGAAGTTGAGTCACATATAACTTACATATTTTTGGGGTCACATAAAAACATTTCTCTATAAAAAAGAGCGTTTCGAAGTCGAAAAACTTACTAATTGGTCATCTCGACTATGAGATCATAGATATACCAATAGGAGAATTTTTTAGGCTTAAAAATAATGCATCATGTAACAAGTTATATGAACAGCCTATTTTCAAGCTGTGATATGCACCATTTTTTGAACTTTAAATTTTATAATTAGAATTGAATATGAATTTTCAAACCATTGTACGATTCCGACACCAAAGCTATGCATCTTATTTTTTCATAATAAGATGGACACCTTATACAAGCCCCACCCAAATATGACCATTGCATAATTGCGTTGTCTTGGTTTAATATTAAGATGTTATTTTTTCAAACACATATAAAGCACCTTTGAAAATTGCGCGAATACATACACGTTTTGTGCCCATTTATTATCATAAGAGTTACTTTTTGTCAAATATTACGAGGACCCCTCCACCGGGCGGTTTTTCTTTTTTTTATTATTTCCTGAATTTACAACACCACACTGTGATAAGCCCCTCACCCTTCTTAACTACATTGCGGTCGAATTAAATAAAGGGACGTACTCCTGCGAGAGTATAGTATAAGTTTACTCCTTGGATAAAAATAAGCACTTCAAAGGATTTTTCAATTTAAAATTTTGGGAACCACCCAATTTCATTAGATAATTATTTTCAAAATTTAAAATTTGAGTTTTCTAACACTTAGATCTTACCCTAAAAAAATTGGACAATCTCTATCCAATCTTGAGACATTATTTTTTGAGTTATGTGGCCCTTTTGAGACCTCGAAAAATAGACTCATTCCTTTTTCTTAAGAACTCATACAACATTCATCACTATAAAAAGGATGAGGGTGCAATTAGTGATTTTTTTTCATTGATGTTAATGTATGCATTGAAGACGTTTTATCCCCAAAATTTGAGTTCCTTAAATTAATCTTAGATATGGTTTTATATGAGAAAGTAAATAAACAGTACACTCCAAAGGGAGTATAATATATTTTGATAAGGTAGGGGTTTGAAAGAGGTGACAATTATACTCCCTACGGAGTACTGTTCAGATATTCCCTTAAGTAAAACCATACCTATAATTAAATTAAGGATTGTAAATTTTTGGAATATAACCTCTTCAACCCATAGACTAAATTTTTTTTTTGAATTACACCTCTACGACTTGAAAATAATATTGTCCCAAGATTGAACAGAGACTATGCAATTTTTAGATAATGAGATCTAAAAGGTAAAAAACTTAAAATTTCCAATTTTAGCTTGTGAAAATAATCATCCAATGATTATTACGTAGCTTCCAAAAAATTAAAATGAAAAAATCCCCTACGTAGGTCCCTTTACCAAGGGAATAAAGTTCTACCATACTATCTCAGTAGTATGTCCCCTTTTTTATTTAACCACAATGTATTTAAGGAGCCCGTGGGTTTTATCACTTGTCCAGTATTGTAATTTCTGGACAGGTGGACCGTTTAGGAGAAAAAAATACTGCAGATGAGGGGTGCGCTTTGTAATTTTTGGTTAAAAAAACCCATATGGTAATAAACGAATGCAAAAGGTGTCTGTACGTAATTTCCTCTATTTTCAAAAGATAATGTGACACTTAATTTTTAAAATTTTCTAAGTACAGTTTGTTGTATTCTAAATCCTCACACGAAAGAGCTAATTTTAAACAAATTCTTAAACTTCTCTCAATTACCATAATTTTTATTTTTCTAAAAACTTAAGAATGTGATGCTACTTTTTCATTATCATAATTATAATATTTCATATTAAAAATAGAAAAAAATTTATATAGAGCTGAGGTTCTAAACAACCAAATTAGAGGCCACCTCAAAAATTATAAAAGAGGTTGTTTTAATGCTTAAATATCGTCAAATTGATCATCTCAGCATCAAGATGCATGGACATGAGAAAAAAATGGATTTCAAGTTTGAAAAAGTGCATCTTATATCGTATTTTTGGACCATCAATTTTCAAAATTTTCATGTTTTTTTAGATTGTTTGATCCACATTATTTTTTAATCTTTAAATTTCATAATTAAATATGAAAATATATTTTAAAGCTATCACAAAGATTTTCAATATTAAAACCACATTTCTCCACACTATTTAAAGGTGTGGTTTACGTCTCTATACAAACCGCACCCTTAAAATTTATTTGTATCACATTATTTGTAATATGAATGGACACGTTGTGTACTAGTAATTCTTCATGAACTTATTCCTAAAGAGGATGACCTTTGGAATTTGGTCCAGCATACTTTCTAATATTTCCACTTGGTAGCCTCACAGTACCAAATTGGACATTTGGTATGGCACGAAAACCTCCTAAAATAAAAGTTTTGAATATCTCTAATTCAATTTAAAAGCGTCCAAAGTAAGTCACATATGGAAGTTATCTAAAGCATTTTTAAGATCCGTAACATTTTAAAACAAAAAAAAATCAGATGAATAAAAATGATTTCATCTTCAAGGTCAAACAGACGATTTAACATTATGGTTTTGTAGGTGGTTCCAATGTATAAATTGTCCCCTCGGAACCACTAAAACTTTTCCTCACAAGTTTAAATAACATCAACTGCTCTTAATCACGCTCTTAAATTTGATATTATTATGGTTCTTTCTCAAAATATTTATCTGATGACCAAGAATAATAATTTGATCCAAGCTACATATTCGTGGACCGTAAATTGGTTGGATCACCATTCTTATTGACAAAAATAAAAAGAGAAAAGAATATATGGGTTCTATCCCAAATCGTGAAAAGAAGCACTTGGACTAAATAAAAGAAGAAAAAACTAACACAAAATCAAGTGGACTCATCTTATATATCGAGAAACTGAATATTCATCCACAATGTTGGGATTTGATTTTTTATTGTGGCATGAAGTCTTCCTCTCTTACTTTGTGCATGGGTTTGTCTAGAGTTAACAACCCCTTGAGATATAAAGATTAATGTTAGTAAGTTGTGACAATTGTATTTATTGAAAAAGTTGTTGCTTTTAATTTAAAAATTTATTTCAATAGGTAGTCATTAAGTAAAACAAAATTAGAAATTTTTATAGAAATACAATAGTTGTTTGGAAGTTAGTGCCTTGAAATTTTATTTATAGATCACTCTTGTTTTTAAGTAAGAATTTCAACTTTACCCTTTATAAAAATACCAAAATCATTCTTTATCTTTTAGTGATATTTACATAAACACTATTATTTGATTAGCAAGATATCATAAAAAATATTTTTTTGAAAAAAGGCATCTCATATTTAGTAAATCCACTTATCACAATTCACTCTAACACTAACCTTTGTAATTTGAAGGGTTGTGATACATATAAAGGAAAAAGCTGGCGTAGCCCAATGACCCAGACAATCCAGGCCGATCCAATGGCCACGATTGTATTTCATATTTTAATTTTAATTTTTTTATAAATCCAAATTACTTGAAATTTTGAGTATGTATTATTTAAAAATATAATAATTTAATAAAAATGTCAAAAAAATAATTTGAAAAAAAATATATTAAATAAAATACCCCAAAACATTTCCAAGGGTATTTTGGTTAATTTATATTATGTGAATTTTTTTTTTTTAACATTTTTATTAGATGTGTCTTGAGGAAATGAATAAACGCCTAAAATTTCATATCATTTGGGCTTATAAAAAAAAAATAAATTAAAATACAAAAATGAAGTTGTGACCATCAGATCGGCCTAAATTGAATATGGACTGTCAGGCTCATATGTAGTTGTAGGCTAGTGGGCCTACACCAACTTTTGTCATATATATATATATATATATATATATATATATAGTAAGTAACGTACCTACCACGTACTAGTAGGTACGTAACGTAGTTACCTTCCCCTACCCCCTCCCCCACCCTACT